TTATTAAGTCTAGAAGACTTTTGGTGGAGTTCTTGGGGTCTTCTATATAGAGTATCATGTCATCTGCAAATAATCACAATTTGACTTCTTCATTTCCTATCTTCATTCCTTTTATTTCTTTCTCTTGTCTAATTGGTGTGGTTAATGTTTCCAAAACTATATTTAACAGAAGTGGTGATAGTGGAGACCCTTGTCTTGTTTCTGATTTCAGTGTGAAGGATTTCAGTTTATGACCATTTAGTATAATATTGGCTGTTGGTTTTTCATAGATGGCTTTGATCAGATTGAGATAGAGACCATCTATTCCGATTTTTTGTAGGGTTTTTACCATAACTGCATGTTGGACTTTGTCAAATGCTTTTTCTGCATCTATGGAGATAATCATATGGTTTTTGTCCTTGACTGTATTGATATAGTGTAGTACATTTATTGATTTGTGTATATTGAACCATCCTTGCATCCCTGGGATGCATCCAACTTGGTCAGGGTATATGATCTTCTTGATGATCTTCTGGAGTCTATTTGCCAGTATCTTATTAAGGATTTTTGCATCTAAGTTCATTAGTGAGATTAGCCTATAGTTCTTTTTTTCAGTTGAGTCTTTCTCTGCTTTGGGGATCAAGGTCATGCTTCCAGGAATGAATTCAGGAGTATTGCTTCCCTTTCAATTTCACTGAAGAGTTTAAACAGTAGTGGCAGTTGTTCCTCTCTAAATGTCTTGTGAAATTCAGCAGTGAAGCCATCAGAACCCGGGATTTTCTTAGTTGGTAAGCTTTTAATTATGTTTTTAATTTCATTGATTGATATAGGGTCATTTAGAATTTTTAGGTCTTCTTCGTTCAATTTTGGTAATTCATACATATCTAGGAATCTGTCCATTTCTTTTGTGTTTTCCATCTCATTGGTGTATAGGTTCTTGAATAAGGTACTGATGATCCTCTGGATTTCTGCTGGGTCTGTTGCAATTTCATCCTTTTCATTCCTATTTGCATGGATTTGGGCTTTTTCTTTCCTTTTTCTGATAAGATTGGCTAAGGGTTGGTCAATTTTGTTGATTCTTTCAAAGAACCAACTCTGGGCTTCATTGATTGTTTTGTATCATTCTCTTAGTCTCCATTGCATTAATTTGTGCTCTGATCTTTATAATTTCCTCCCTTGTATGAGCTTTGGGTTTGTCTTGCTCTTCTTTTTCTAGAAGCTTGAGGTTCAGCATCAGGTTGTTTAATTGGGCTCACTCTGTTTTCCTAATATAAGTATTCACTGCTATGAATTTTCCTCATAGGTTTGCTTTCATTGTGTCCCATAGATTCTGATATGTTGTATTGTCATTGTCATTTAATTGTAGGAACTGTCTGATTTCTTCTTTAATTTCCTCTGTGACCATTGGTTATTCACAGGTGTGCTGTTCAGTTTCCAAGTTTTTATGAAAGTTTTGTGGTTTCTTTGGTATGGATCTCCAATTTGATCGCACTATGGTCTGATAATATACAGGGGATAACTTCAATTCCTTTGAACTTACTTAAACATGTTCTATGTGTGAGTATGTGGTCTATTTTGGAGAATGACCCATGTGCAGCTGAAAAGAATGTGTATTCTAATTTTGTGGGGTGGAACACTCTGTAAACATCTGTTAAGTTCATTTGTTCCAGAGTTTTAGTTCTAGTATTTCATTACTTATTTTTTGTCTAGTTGATCTGTGAGTTTGTGACAGTGGGTTATTGAGGCCCCTATTACTGTTGTATTAGTCCTTATTTGATTTTTCATGTCTGTTAGTATTTGTTTTATATAGTTGGGTGCACTAGTGTTTGGTGGACATATATTTATGATTGTCATCTCTTCCTGTTGGATGGTTCCCTTTACAAGGATGTAGTGTTCTTTGTCTCTCTTAATCAGCGTTGGTTTGAAATCCACTTGATCTGCAAAGAGGATAGCTACTCCTGCTTTTTTCGGGTTCCTATCACATAGGGTATTGTTTTCCACCCTTTAACTTTCAGTCTGAGTTTCTTTTTGAATTAAATGTGTTGCTTGTATGCAGCATATTGTTGGATCTTGTTTCTTGACCCATTGTGCCATTCTATTTCTTTTGCTTGTTGAGTTGAGACCATTAACACTGATGGTTATAAGTGATACATATTGACTTGTCATTGTCATGACTTTCTTTTTGTTGGATTCTCTGCCTTTTTGTTTAATTTCTTGTTGTGCCTGACAGATTCATTCTGCTTGGCTTCTTGGGGTTGTTATCCTCATTGTCTTTTCCTCAGATATTGTCTAAAATTCTTTGTAGAGCTGGTTTGGTGTTCATGAAGTTCCTAAGGTGCTCTTTGTCATGAAAGTATCTTGTATCTTATTTCTCCATCAATTTTGAAAGATAGTTTTGCAGGGTACATCAATCTGGGTTGGAGGTGTTTTCCTTTAGGGCTTGGAATATGTCACTCCATGCTCTTCCTGCCTTGAGGGTTTGCATTGAGAAGTCTGCTGTGATTCTGATGGGCTTTCCTTTGTATGTGTTTTGTTTGTATTCTCTAACTGCTTGTAGAATTTTGTTCTTCTGTTGGGTTTCTGCAATCTTAAATTTTATATGCCTATGTGTAGATTTTTTTTGATCAAGGCTAGTTGGAGTCCTATATGCCTCACTTATGTGTATGTCCAGTTCTTTCTCCCTGCTTGGGAAGTTTTCTGCCATTCTGTGAACAGTTTTTGTATGTCATCTGCCCTCTCTTCTGTTTCTTCATTGACTCTGATCAGTCATATGTTATTCTTCTTTGCATCATCTAGCAGCTGCTGGATTTATTTCTTATGGCCCCTTATTATTTTAAAGAAATATTTCTTTTCCTGGTCACTAATTGAGATCTTATCTTCTATATCTGAAATTTTGTCTTCATGTCAGCTCATTCTGCTGTGTAAGCTTTCAGTGGAGTTTTTAATCTCATAGAAATCTGTTTGGATCTCTTTTATGGATTCCATTTGTTTCCTATGTTGGGATTCCATCATGTTCCTCAGTTCCTCTATTTTTTTTTTTTATCTGTGTCTGCTTTAGATTTATTAATCATGTCTTGCACCATGGGCACAATCTCCGCTGTTATCTGAGGAATTATTTCTGATTTCATTTTTTCCAGATCCTCTTTTGTTGCCAGTTCAGGAAGTCCAGGTGGTTGAGTATGAGATTGTTCCATCTCCTTTCCCTTTGTGGTTGCTTAAGGTTATCTTGAAGGCTGGTTTTGATCCTTGTTTACATGTGTTTTCATTTCAGTGGAGGTGGGGGTGGGGGAGGGGTGTATGCTGCTGATTCCTGTGTGGCTGGCTTCCTCAGCTCTGGGGGTGGCTCTATTCCCCAGTGCTGGGGGCAGTGGTATGGTGGCCCAGAAGGCTCACCTCCTTGGTGCTGGCTGCAGCTCTGTTCCTTGGTGCTGGGGGTAGTGGTACGGTTGCTCAGAATGCTCACTTCCTTGGGGCTAGTTGGGCCTCTGTTCTTTTACTCTTGAAGCATCCTGTGCTACCCAGCAAAGCAATGACCTTGAACTCTCAGCTAGTGAATTGTACCTGTCCTCCTTCCTTCGTGAGTATTCTGTGGCTCCATAGGCTTCATTGAACCACGCTAGCCACTGTACTGGAGAGGCTGTGGTGCATGGGTGATGCCACTCAGTTCCATAATGTCTTAAGCATAACCTATATATTTAGCTTACAACCTTGTATTGCAAAAACAATACTGTCACAATAAAAGCAGAAATCAAATGAGAAAAGAAAATGAAAGAAAAAAGTCTCCAATCTTGCCATTTTGAAAACCAGCTCTTTTAACATTTCCTTCCAGTTACTGCCAATATGTTATCTAATTTTTATATACTTACAATCAGCATAGACATGACTTTAGGATCAGGTTTTCTTTTTTTTTTTCCTTCTAATGTTACATAAGTCTTCCTCCTCAGGCAGGTCTTCACATTTCTGAAATGTAATGTGCTTTTACCATAGAGTTGCTGGCCAACTACTGATTTCTTTTAAAAAAGCTCACTAAATTCTGGAAGTGATAAGTTTTCATTGCTATTCTCAATGTTACCATATTGTGGTGGTTAATTCCACTTTTACTGTTTCAACTAAGATAACAGTCTGCCTGTGGCAAATCGGGCTCCCAAGATTAACAGTCCTAGAACACAGTGGAACATATCAGAATCTGTGGGTGCTGAGGAAACTTCAGTTGTCCTTACCTGTTCTAAAAGAATACAAAGTTTTTTCAGTTTCATCCTCAAGGCCTTGAACTACTGGTTAGTGTAAGGATTAGCAAAGAGATTGCACCATGCCTTCTGGCTTACTACCTTTACAAGGTGTTCAATAAAAGAAAAGCCACTGATAGTGTTAGTATAAATTTCAGTAACAGCACAGAGACTATCATTCACTCCTAGTCATTCCAACGCTTCCAAGAAGGGAAAGAGTATTTTGTTATTAGAAGCAAAGGGAGCTATTAATCAAAGGATTTAAAAGCCATAGTAAGGATGATCTTGAAAGAGTTATAGGAACTTTCATCTGCTTTGGCTCTTATTTCTCAAGGATTGTGTAGGAATTTCTCATGGACTTAGTATTTTTTCATTAGCAAATACCAAGAGAATTAGTCCCTAATATAAAACATGAGCTAACTCAGTGGCCCTCTTCAAAAGAGAGCGGGAAGTTGTGTCTTGACATGGGAAGAGGGTGCAGACCATGCTGCCTACCTCATGAGCTCCATGAGTCCTCGTCAGAAGACTGCAGAAAGCCACATTCAGGTGAGTGGTCTATTAGACATCTGTGTATGGTCTACAACCAGAAATGTGGCTCAAGCCAAAGGGAGCAAGGGAGAGGGCTTTCTCTCAATATTTCTTACTTAATATATGAGAGGACCTTCCAGGGCTTCTGTGCCCTCCACTCATTAGGCTGGCTGTTCTAGGGTTTAATGTGCTCATACCATAATAATTCATAATTACAAGATGATCATCATTTCCATCATCATCTTCATCACCATCTTCATTCACTTCAACCCTAGATTACCAAGTGTCCTTGGTGAATGATATCTGCATGAATTTTCCCCCAGACTCACCTGGTGTCTAAAAAATAAATATTGCTACTAGAAATTCACTGGCATTCATGTATGAGATGACACACAGCTAATCTGGCCTTCATTCATGCAAGGATGAAATGGCCAAATGGCAAAGTGCTGCATAGAACAAAACCCTCCCAATATTCCAACCACAGGTGGGTGACCTGTTTGCTCATTCATTCATTGAACAAATGGTGCTTGAATGTCCACCCTGTTAGTGGCAGTGTGCTAGGGGATGTGCTCTCTGCATGAGAAAAGCAGGCCATGTTCTGCTCTGAAGAAACTTTCAACAAAGGCAGATTCATTCTGTGCTTAAATGCAAACAAATCCACGACAGATGTAGTGACCCGGAGTGCAAAGGGACTGAGGGTGCAGACAGAGAAGTGGTGATCTGGTTGGGGAAGACTTCTCCAGGTGCAGATAATGGATCTATGGTTGGAAAGAAGAATAACCAAAAATAGCTGACATTTACTACATGGTTATTATGTGCCAGATGTTAGTGATTTGTGTGAGCAGCCACTGTGAGGTATGGGCTTTAATCTTAGCACAGAGGTGAGAAACAGTCTTAGACACAGTAGGTAACTCATCAATGATAACCAGCTGTGGGTGACTGGAGGAGTAGAGACTGGAACTCAGTTTGAGTGGTGTCTTAACTACTCATCTAAATTGTTTTTTATCCTGTCTGAGGTGGCAGTTAGCCAGGTAAAGAAGCTGGTGGGAAGGGGCAGCCAGGTAGGTGGAGGTGCTCATGCAGGGCATACATGAAGAACAGAACAGAAAGTACAAGAAGAAGTGAAGGAAAGGCAGAATGGTTAGGTGCATGGATGGGGAGAGAGTGTGTGGTGAGGCAGGGCGGCAGGTGCAATGCTGGGCCTGGATGGTCCTGTCAGAGTGGTAGCTTCCCTGGAGGGTTCTGAGAAGGGAGGACATGATCAGACTTAAATTTTGACAAGTCCCTCTAACTGTAATCTAAATTTTAGAAGGCGGCAAAGGCATATTTTGGAAGAGAATTAAAACTTTAGTGGGGTGGTGTGTTAGTTAACTTTCCTCTTATTGCTGAGACAAAATACCCAGCACCCCAAATTAGGGGAAGGGGGTTTATTTGGCTTACAGTCTGCAGAGGTTTCAGTCCATAATTGGTTGGCTCCAAGGCTGCGATGGCAAACAAGTATTGCAGAGGAGAAACAACATGGGGCGCACAAGGTAGCAAAGGGAACAAGAGGGCCTTAACAGCTTCTCCCTGTCCCTGTTATCTTATTCAGACTACTTAGGGTGGGTAGCACTCACAGCCTTAATCCTAGTGCCCTTGAGCCCTGCATTGCATCATGAATCAATTCCAGCTTCACACACTCTAGATCCAGGCTATAACCACATGAGGCTTTTTGCAGCGGGGGAGGGGGTGGGCATCTAGACCCAAACCGTAACAGGTGGGTTGAAGGCACTAGAGATGAGACCTAACTTTCTGACTTTGATAACCTGATGGCTAATACTACCATTCACTGAAATGGGAACAGCTGGAGATGACATTGTTGCAGGAGAAGGTCAATAATTTGATTTGAACAGGTTGACTGGGAAGTATCTTTCAGACCTCCTGGTGGACTTGTCTAGTAGGTCATTTTATCTATAGCCCTGATCTCTGGAAGAGGTTAGGGCAAGAGATAGAAACTTATGAGTCATCCAAGGACAGATGGTCACTTCTGTGCTATAAATTAATCATAATCTCAACCTCGATCATATTGTTCCATAGGGTCAACTCTTTGGTAATACTCTATCATCACTAAATTAACTACGGATCCATGGGTTAGTTTTAAGAACTTTTCAAAATGGTGTTGGTGTAAACTTCCATTTTTTTTTTCTCCCAGTAATACCTAAGGCATAACTTCTGAGTCAGCTGTGCTGAACTCTCCTCCAAGGTGACACATCTGAGCCTCAGAATCCTCTCCTTCATACCTGGAACATAGCGATTGCTCATTAAACTCCATTGTGCACATGAAAAATGCTTGGTATTTCCAGTCCTTACCCTTGCACGCTGCTTCCTGCATGGAGGGACTGCCTTTGTTTAATCTTAAGAAGATAACATGTAAAATTTCCATTTTAAATGATGAAAGAGATATATCACGCACAAGTATTCAAGACACATTTCTAATGATTCTTCCTTCATGAAGTCACTTTTATCCCTTCGGTTTAAGAATCAACTCTTTTTGGGGCTGGGGATTTAGCTCAGTGGTGCTGCCGCCTGCCTCACAAGGGCAAGGTCCTGAGTTCGATCCCTGGTACCAAAACAAACAAACAAACAAACAACTCTTTTTTGGAATTTTCAAAGTACCTCCACTTCCTTTTATTTTTCAATTATTTCAAGTACCACAATGGGATGCAAAAAATTTCAAGGGAAATATGGTTCCCAAATTTTTAAACTATGTTATGTTTGAGCATTAGGTGTGCTTAAAAAAAATTTGATTCCCAACAGCAATTTGAAGATCTGTCATTCCCCTTTGTCCCTGATCCCCCACAGTCCCATCATAGCTGCCACTCACTTGATTTAACCTTTGAGGAACTGGGGCTGTGTCTTGCTCAGGTTTATGGCCCCTTAGCTGCCTAACAGAGTGGATTATTCATTATATCTTCTCAATATTTGTGGACCTGAAGTGGTGAGTGGGGGTATACGGCTGCTGCTGTCTTCCATTCTAAATGAGAAGGGAGCACAGATTCAGCTGTGCTTATTTTGCTTCAATCATCAGAGAAAAAGCAGCAGTGCTCCATAAATTAGCAAAAGGAACAATGTCTCATACGTACTATAGTGAGTGCCTGGTTCTGCTGTTCAGCTGGAGAATAAATGAGATGGAGCCACTGGGAAGGTAGAAGCATAAGTATTATGCAAACATAAGCATTTTTCTGTGGAGTTAATCTCTATGTGAGCTTTCCCTTCCCAACCCACTGGCTCTGCTGGATTCCAGTTATGACCAAGCCCGAGGCAGGCACTATAAATTCTTCACGGCCTTGTTTCTACCAAAGGGGCTGCTAAATCAGTTACATAAAATTATAATTTGTTTTCAGAAACCTGTATTTGTGATTTGAAGTGGGTCATTCTTCAATCACTTAATGGAGAGGGTTAAAATCCTCAAACCCTCCTAATTATCCTCACATATATAAAATGTTTAGGATCTTGTAGGGACTTTCTCTCTTGCATATGATTTCTTCCCTTTCCACTTTTAAATAAACCAAATGATGACAAAAATCTTAGAATGAAAAAATAGCTTTGGTGAAAGTGCTCTGGACAGCTCTCTCAAAGCAGCCACTGAATTATGGGAAAAACATTTACGGTGAAAAGCCACAGGGCAGGGGAAACGGGCTATTTCAGTTACCAGTACATCTATTGTTTCTATCTGGAAACTTTATTTTTCCATAGGCCTTTAAAAGGGAGGAACTATTTCAGTTCTGACCTGGAGCTGAGAGAGTGACTTACATGGTGAGTGGAAGGAGAGGTTTCTGATTTTTTTCTGGTATTGGGGTTAAACCCAGGCCTTTACACTGAGCCATATCAGAGGCCTTTAGAATTTTTTTTTTTTAATTTTGAGACAGGGTCTGGTTACATCACTAATTGCCCAGGCTGGGCTGAAACTTGTGATCCTTCTGCCTCAGCCTCACAGAGTGCTGTGATTACAGGTGTGCACTCCAGGCAGGCATGGGAGGGCTGGCCTGGCTTTCAACGTGCATTCAAGCAGCAGTGTGTGGTCACTCCTAGACTGGGTTGGGTTCATTGGAGAAGCAGGAGGTCCAAGTGTGTGGACACCAACCCCAAGGGAAGCAGGCTATTTTACTTCTTGGCCTCTAGGATGTTCATCTGCAAAATGGGTACAGTAATTCCTGAGCCCACCCTAGCTGAGAAAGTTGTTACACTGACTAATGGGGAGGGAGATGCTAAAAAAACTGTTATAATATTTTGAGACACTGAAAATGTTGTAGAAATGTAGAATGCTCTTATACTTTCATTCCATTTTGCAAGGTGCAATACCCTTTTCCATTTAAGTGCTTCCGAAGGTTAATAAAAGATGCAAGAACAAGTGTGACCACAAACTTGCTCCATTGCAGAAGGGTGAGACAGTGCCTAAATGTTCGAAGTCTTTGCCCAAACATGGTTGTGCAATGTTTTGCGAGTTAGTCCCCAAATCTCTTGAATTGCTTATGAGATGTTTTGTTTGTTAAATAATTTCTGAAATGTACTGAGTTTTAATGACTCATAGATTCATGCAAACGTATACATGACATTTAGGATTATGGAATTAGAGGGAAGAGGTCCTCTAAAGCACCCAGTGTTTTATAGGCAAGGAAACTGGGTGCCAAGAGTTCTAAATGATTTTTCCCAGATCCCCATGAAGTGCCGGGACCCCAACCTTCAGTTCTCAGCTCAGGCTCATTCTTTTGAGCACATTTTTCATGAATATTCTCATCATGTATTCTGTGTCTGTGGTCTGTGCAAAATTCTTGTAAGAAATCAGGAATGACTTTTTTTTTTTACTCCCAGTGATTTCAAGATAAGAAAAATAATGACTATACTTTTAAAGAATGTATGATTCTCTGTAATATTTATAACTCAGAAAGTTCTTTAAAGTAGTTTTAATCTTTATAGCAATTCAGGTGAAGAGTTAATTTATGCCAGAGTTAGAATCTACCAAGTGAGAGGTAAGGCTCCTAAAAGATCAAAACTGGGATTCAATAAAGGTTGGGCTTACAGTTTCATTGTTGGATTTTTAGTGTGACATGGAAATTGATGCGTTAGTGTTTTCAAAAGCTATTGATTATTAGTTGGAGATGAGACTCTCCCCAGTTTCCTCCTTTGTTTGGCCATGAGCAGAAGCTGGGCTTTGCCCACTCTGTCCTTCCTGCTAGATCTTTGTCATTGTGATATGTCAGTGTGCAGGGGACTGAGTCTTCCAGTGCATCAGCAAAAGCTCACTTACTTGAGAAAGACCTTTCTGAGTTATCAATAGTCATGGTGATAATAATAATAATAATAACAGCTGATGTCTATCAAACACTTGTTTTCAGGGTTTTTTTTAGGTGCTTTACAAGTATTAAGTGACTTGATTTTCTTAGCAAGCCTATGAGACAGGCACCATTACCTCAATTTTACACAGGATGAAATTGAAACACGAAGAGGTTAATGACTTGCTTCAGGTAACACAGCCAGCAAACAACCAGTAAGTAATATTTGTATTTTTTATTAAAATGTTTCCTTTTTCCTCCCTCTGTACTTCTTAAGGTCTTTTTATTTTTGTGTGCCGGGGATCGAGCTCAGGCCCTTGTACTTGCACAGCAGGCGGCGAAACCACTGAGCTAAATCCCCGGCCTCCCTCTGTACTTCCTAAAATATTTGTTGTAGCAAACTCTTTCATCATGGGTAAGGCAAAGTCCTTCCCTAAGGAACATGAGGTCTGAAGTCCCCCTGTCCTTTCCTTTACCCCAGTGTGTTTATGCAGCCAATGCAGGTTGAAATGAACCTGAGGGCAGCTGAAGTGGGGACAGGGATGCTGGGTGACATCACCAGATAAGCATGAAGCTTTTCGTGCCAGCATCTGCCAGAGCTCAGCCTCAGCAGGCCGGCATGGTGTTCAGGTGTGTCCCATGCGCTGTTTGGGTCTGAGTTGAGAGCCCTTTCCACAGAGCAGACGGTGTGAGGGCCTCCTCCTCAGCACTCTTAAAGTATGAAGTCCCAGAAAGCCTCCCTGTTTCTCATTCAAGATGCCTAGCTGCAAGTTTCGTACTAGTCTTGGGTACAATTTGGAATGGAATCATCACAAACTACAACTTCCTTGACTCAGAATCAGTGAGTTTTTCAAAAACAATCAGAGATGTTGAAATCTGTACTTTTTTTGTATGTGAAAGTATTTTATGAGGTACATTACCAGGTCTTGAAACGAACCTAAGAATTGGGATAAAAGAAAAGTTCAAACCATATAGAGGGGCTAGTGGATGGATAATGAAAGAAATAGACATAGTTGTCTACGTATGTCTCTGATGTTTCCACCCGAAGGGGTTAAATCCCGTGTGACCGGCTGTGCCTTCCCCTAAGAATTCAGCAGGGAAGCATGTCCTTTCTTCACCGCCTCACATCCGCGCTGCTCTCACCCTACTGTGCTGTCTCCACTTGCCTGCAGAGCTCCCATGCTCTGCTTCGGACTCTAAGTAACTATGCTCCTGCATGGTGAGAGAGTATTGGCCCCTAACATGCCGAGAAAGTTTGTTTTGCCTGTAAAGTCATGCCTGTCTCTTTCAAAATGTGACTTTTATTTTCATGTTGGGAACATCGATCTCACATGTTCCTTTTCTGGCTCAGTGTTTTGAGTTGTAGTTGATGGTCACTATTTAAGGGCTTATTTCTTCAGTTATGGAGAGTTGGGTAGAACTTGGGGACACAGGGTGGACATTTCTCCCTGCTACTCCATATCTTCTACAACCCATTTACAGAATAGAAGATGGTGAACTCTCCTGGAAAAAAAACAAACCCTTTATCTTGGTGTCAGATAGAGTAACCTCTTCTTGTGGTTAGTGCAAAAGCTAACGTCACCTCAGTATTAACGCTAACACTGCACTCCTTTTTTATCAGAACTGGATTCTGTCGAATAAGAAGTGGTGTGAGTGTGTGTGTATGTGTGTGTGCATTGAGCCTGGCGCATCTCCTTTCTAATAGTGACAGAATAGTGACCTGCCCAGTGAGAGTCACGATGACCTGAACCTGGGTCCTTCAATCAGTAACCCATAGGCAAGGTAATTACTTTAAACAACCACTTGAATTTTCTGCTTCACTGTGTTTACAGTTGGGGGAAAACAAATTCTGCAATGTATACATGCTTTTTATCAAGGATGTAGCACGATTGTCAACAAAGTGTCTTTTTAAGTTAATATTTGCCAGAAAAAACAGAATGTTCTTGGTATTATTATGGTACATAAGACTCTGCAAAGGAATAAAAACATTGAATTTGTTACATATTTATACACAAGTACTGTGAAGTGTAACAGGAAAGAAACAGGTCTACATTTTAATAAAATCCTATTCACATATGCATTGATAAGGCAAATTGTTTTGTACTTACATAGATCATGGATGGAGTTTTCTGCCTAGTCTCTTGTGGGGAAAAAGCAGCTTTGAATATTTCATTGGAAAATAAAAGTGCTTCTTTATTTGATTTGCTTCAGATGAAACCAAATAGATGAATAATGTATATGCCTGGTGCCAATTAAAAAAATAGTCCTGTGATTTGTACAGCTGTGACTCAGAGGAGCCAACTGACACTTTGAGGCAAAGAAGACTGAAAATGAAAGGATAAATGGGTGGAAAATTCCACAACTCAAAATCCCAATGTCCCCTCAAGGATTGGATTGTTACTTGAGAAGGCTGTGCTGGATTTTTGGCATTCTTGCAGTATCTCATTTTGAAGATGGAATGTAAACTTCGGTTTTCAGCTGGTATCACTGTTCTCTGAAGGAGTCTCAATTATAATTTTCTGGGACTTTTTAGTAACACTGATTTTCCTAAACTTAATGTTTCAAAAGTTTTGGGCAATCTCCCTTAGTGGAAAGAGCAGCCTCATCTTTGGGGAAGCCCAAGGCTGGAATGAGTTTCACTCTCCCTTCAAGGACTTGAGTGAGAAACAGGGCTATTTGTATAATCTACTGCGAATCCTGTGGAGGATTGTTGAAAATTAATTTGCTGTAGAAGTCAAGAGGGTGCCAGTAGGTGAGTGTGGTGGAGGCTGATTAAACGTTGGATGCTGGTGATAAAGGTGTGTTCCACCAGTGCTTCCAAGTGTAGCTCACTCTTCCCTCTCCCCCAACAACTGGGGAATTGAACCAAAGGCCTTTGCACTGAGCTACATTGCAAATCCTTTACATTTTTTGTTGTTTTTTTGAGACAAGGTTTCACTACGTTGCTAAACTGCCTAGGCTGGGCTCAAACTTGCAGTCTTCCTGCTTTAGTTTCCTACAGCACTGGAATTATTACTGTGCTGGACAGTCTCATGTTTCAGTAGGGTGCCACTGATAACACACAAGATCTATGAGTTTAAAATTACTTTTACTGTTTTCACTTCCAAGCACAATTTGGTAATTTTCTAGGTGATTGAAATAGTTTTGAACAAAACTTAAATTCCCAAAGGAAAACAGCTAATAAAATATAATCTTTTCTTACTTGCATATATATTATAAAGAACAAAAGATACTTTTTTGGGGGGGGAGGAGAATTGCTTTTAAGATAAAAATTTCACTCAGACATTCAGAATTCAAATTTCTCATGTGTGTTTGTCAATAGATGACAGATATTTAAAGTTATGCTTAAACAGTGACTGTTTGTTGCCTTATTTCAACTAAGAGTTTTGTGTATGATGTAGAATGGTTAGTTTTAAGGACATTCAAAAGACCCTTTAGCACAAATAATATGGATGTAAATACCATCATATTTGGTAGAATACACTTGATCTTAGCCAAAAGATCGCATATTTGGTAGAATAATGAATTAATAGAGACATACATTTAGAGAATTTAGAGAATTTCTTATTGTCTTATTGCTGTGATTTGCATTGCTTGCTTTAAATTATAAAATTGTATTTTCGTGTGTGTATGTGTGTTTGTGTGTATATATGTACACATGTGTGCCTTCCCAATATAGAAAGAGTTTTGAGAAAAGGTTCAGTATTCCAAACATGACTGGCAATTGCTGGAAGAACCTGATGCACTGCACCATAGTTTCCCCAAGGACCAGATTATATGTTAGGGATGCTATATATAAAATTGCCCTGCTGGCATAGAATGTCCTGTACCTCTTTCAGCCACTTTCTTCTTTTAGGGTTGTGTTAGGTCTTATGGCATGGGACTTAGAGTTGAAAGTGTATGGTATTTTGCTTTAAAAAAGGTAGAAATTTTGATTTGCATTTCCCTTATGATTAATGACACTGAACAATTTTTCATGTATCTGTTGGACATTTGTATATCTTCTTTGGAGAAATGTTTATTTACACTGTTAGCTTAATTTTCAATAGAGTTATTAGTTTTTTTTAAAAAAATTGGGTTGAAGTTCCTTTTATATTTTGTTCCACTTTATAGGTTGTCTTTTCACTCTTTTGATTATTTCCTCTCATGCACAGAAACTTTTGGTTTGATGTAACTTTACTTATTTGTTGTTTATTTTGTTGCTTGTGGTGTTGGTGTCAAATCCCTAAAATGATTGCCAAAACCAGTGTCAAGAAACTTTTGCCAGGTGTGGTGGCACACACCTGTAATCCCAGCACTCTGGAGGCTGAGGCAGGAGGATTGCTGTGAGTTAGAGGCCAGCCTGGCCTACATAATGAGTTCAAGTCCAGCCTGAACTACATAGCAAGACCCTGTCTCAAAAAATAAAAATAAAAAAGAAACTTTTACCTTTTGCTTTCTTCTAAGAGTTTTACAGTTTTGAGTCTTTTGTTTAAGTATTTAATACATTTTGAGTTGGTTTTTGTGTATGGTGTAAAATAGATGTCCAATTTAATTCTTTGACATATGGATATCCAGTTTTCCCACCATATATATACATATATATACACATATGTATATATATGTATATATATGCATATGTATGTGTGTGTGTGTGTATATATATATATATCCTGTTGAAGATCACATGGCTATACACATATGGATTTATTTCTGGATTCTCTTTTCTGCTTGTATGCGCATCTTTATGGAGTATCATATTTGTGCTTTTTGCTAGTGCCACATGAATCTTAAAAATTTTGTATTTTTATAGAAGTCCTTATGATTGTTTATGTATCAGTTTTTTTCATTAATATTTGGTGGTTTTCAGAATATAAATCTTCTACCTCTCTAGTTAAGTTTTCTTCTAGATATTTTATTCTTTCAGAGCTATTATAAATGAGACTTTTTTTGATTACTTTTTAGACAATTTGTTGTTGGTATATAGAAACACTACTGATATTTGAATGTTGATTTTTTTTTTTTTGCACCAGAGATTGAACTCAGGACCTTGTGCACCAATGAGCTAAATCCTCAGCCCTGAATGTTGATTTTTGTATCAAACAGTTTTACTGAATTTGTTTTTTAATGTCAATAATTTTTAATGGCATCTTTAGGGTTTTTTATGCATAAGAACATGTCATCTGCAAAAAAGATAATTCAATTTATTCTGATTTGATGCTTTTATTTATTTTTCTTCTCTAATTGCTCTGGCTAGGACTTCTAATACTATGTTGAATAGAAATAGTGGGAGTGGCCATCTTTGTCTTGTTCTTAGTACTAGAGGAAAGACTTTCAATTTTTCAATTTTTGGAACAATGGTAGCTATTGTATGGTATGGAATGATGTTAGCTATATTACCTATGGTCAAATTCCATGTTGTAGAATTTTTTTCCTTTTGGGGAGTTGCTTCCTATGTTTTAGAGCTTTTTTTGTTCCTTATTTCCTACATTGCTATCTTTTTTATTTATTTGATTTTTTTGGGGTAGAGAAATATTTAAATTTTATTCTCATCTCCTCTTCTGTATATTCTGTATCTATTTTCTTTGCAGTTACCTTGGGGATACATTAATGTTGTAAGGTTATACAACCTAATTTTGATTCATACTACCTTAACATTAATATGTAAGAATGCTTTTTCTCTGTTTGTCTCTCTGTCTCACTGTCTCTCTGCCACTCTCTCTCTTCTTTTCACTTGGTGTCTACACTTGCATTTTATACACTGTGAGTCCCCAAAACATAAACTAGTAGTTCAGCATATTAGTTTTTAAAATTATATGGAAAACAAGATGCAGAGTCATAAACTATAGTTATAATAATATTAGCTTTCAGACTAATAGTTGCCTTTTAAACAAATGTATCTCTTAAATTATGTAGAAAACAAAAAGGTGGGATTATAAATTATTGTTACTCTAATTCTGGCTTTATTCCCATAAATTTAAATTTACTGAGATCTTTGTTTCTTCATATAGTTTCAAGTTATGCTCTAGCGTCCTTTCTCAACCTTAATGACTTTCTTTAACATTCTTGTAGAGCAGGTCTAAAGGTAATGAATGCCCTTAGCTTTTGTTTATCTGAAGATGCCTTAATTTATCCTATCTTTGAAGGTCAGTTTTGCCAGTTATTGGCTTCTTGGTTGACTTTCAGTATATCAGCCCACTGCCTCATGGCACCCAAAGTTTTGGATGAGAAATTTGCTGATAATCTTATTGTGGATCCTTTGTATGTGATGAGTCACTTATCTCTTGCTTTTAAGATTCTCTCTTTTTATTTGGCATTTAGTAGTTGGATTATAATGTATTTCGGTTTGAGTGTTTAGAATTCATGCCACTTGAAGTTCATTGAGTTTCCTGGATGCCTATATTCATGCTTTTCATTATATTTGAGAATTTTAAAAACCATTATTTCTTCAAATATCCTTTTCTTTTTTTTCCTTTTTGGATTCCCACAATGTGTGCATTGTTCCACTTAATGGTACCACACAAGACCCATGTGCTCTTTTCTTTAATATGTGCCATGTTTGGAAGTTCTCTGATTCTTTTTTCCTTCCTGCTTTAATCTGTCTTTGAATCCTTTGAGTGAATTTTTCATTTCAGTTGTAATACTTTTAAGTTCTAGAATTTGTTTTCTTTTTAGATTTTGTATCTGTTGATATTTCCATTTTGATCATGTGCTCTTTTCTTGACTTTCTCCATCTCTTCCTTTAATATTTGAACATCTATATGGCTGTTGCTTTAAAGTGTTTGTCTAATAGATCTACCATCAGTTTTCAGCTCTTTTTTTCCAGATTTATTTTAATTTTTCTGAATGAGTCATACTTTTATATTACTTTTTTACCTGTTATTTTTTGTTATTACAGCTACATATTTGAATCTAATAATGCGACAACTCTGGAAATTATATTCTTCTTTTTCCCTAGAATTTGCTGTTCTTTTTTTTATTTACAAAAAGTTTATTTAGAATGATATCTACATAATAAAAATAAAACACATGGAACTCACAAGTTATACAAAGAAACTGATATATAATAAAAACAGCAATATAGACTGACAGGAAAAAATTTAAAGGAAGATAAAATCAAGAGTTAAATAGCAAATAGACAACTTTATTTCTAAATTTTACTTTGTCACTCACACTGAATTGGCATTGAACAATGGCTCTCTCTTCAGGCGGTCCTGAACTGGAAATTCTGGAAACTGGTAAATTATATTTTTTGATAAGAGTTTAAAGTTAATGACCTATTTCCATGCAGTACCTAATGCTGCCTCAATGTGAAGTCACATCCAGTCTGCTCTCAAGTC